AAACACTGGGAAGTTTGGTCGTAGGTTCGCGCCGCAATCGGACAGGCTGCTCGGAGTTTTCCATGTTATCTCCTTGCCAATAACGACTAAATAGGAGGCCAAATCCCCATAAAAGTCCTCCTGTCAGGCATTCTTTCCCCGCGCGCGCGTTTTGGCCGTTTGAATTCGGCTGGCTCGTCGGTCGCACAGCGATCACTAACGTCAATCGGAGAAAAAGCCTAAACTGAGCTATACTCTACATATCGAAGAAGAGAAAGAAGAAGCAAAACGGTTTGTCCTCATCTATCTCAACTAGGAAACAATAGTAATTAACAAGTGAAATACGGTATATTTTATTTATTCCTTTAATGTCTACTTGTTATGGAATTAACACGAAACGCATCCATTGCCATGTTTTACGATCTTTTAATTTTGTGTATTTTCTTTTGTAAAATGAACTTTCTGAAATTAAGTTATTGTATTTTAGTGAACATAATAAAATTTCACAAGAGGGTTAGTAAAAATTGCATATACATCTTAGACATCTTTTGACGTTTTGTAATGGACTTAGCATACGGAAAATTACATTATAATATAACAAGTGATAACTACAGAAGGTTGATCGTGTTTCCTAGTGCCGATTTCTATATTACCCATATTTTCAGTTGTAGGAAGTAGAATGAAAGAACTGGCCACGTGCTACTGTATATTATGAGTTTTACTACCGATAAGTACGGTTTAACAATCGCAAATATGCCACCTAAATTTTTAGCCTTTTGGTCAGATGATGTAACTACTCTATATGAAGCAAAATATTTAGAAACACATGTTATTAAAATGTGGAAAAATTGTGGTTTTTACGTTTCATGATTTGGGATACAGTTAGTTCTCAAAAGAAACGATTCGCAAGAGCCAGGATAGTCGTCAAGTATTTCAATTCCTTCCAGAATAAGGAACGCTCCATGTCACACACCAGAGGTAATAGCAAAGAGCGACGACTGATCAGGCCAAAAACCCAACGAAGTGTTGCCCAGAGTGTTGGAATAGCCCAGTCGACAGTTCTTGTCATTATTCACGAGAATTTGAAACTGGAAAAATGCAGTAAAGGTCGAGTTTTCTAGCTGCTGTCTCATCACATTCAAAAACAAAAGACCAACAGCTGAAAACTGTACGAAATGTATCTTTCGGTAAACAAGTGGCAGTTTGTAGTCACGCTAGATGAAGCATGGATGTACATGAACAATTGCAACAAATCGCGGGCAATTTACTACAGACCATCAGATAAGAGACCATACCAAAACTGGTTCAAGAAATATCGCGAAAGTTTGCCATCAGGCTTTGTGGTCATTGCAGGTTATTGTTATAGTGTTAAACTAAACATCAGAAAAGTTAAAAAAGAATAAAAATTAATTCGACATACTACTAGACTAACATTCTGAAACACCGTGAAAAGATCCCTACTTTGTATGTAAATGATCAAACAAATGTATAGGTGAATCAAGACAAAACTTCTAGTCATACCTGCAAATCATATTTGCAAATACCTGCAAGAGATTTCAGCCATCTATTAAAACAGGAAACAGGAATCCATACCATCTGTTTCGATGATATTCACGTTAAGACACCTGACACGATTCCAATGGACAACTGTGCGTTTAGTCTATTGAAACGAGCTCTAGAAAGCCATTGTCTATAAACTATGACAGGCTTATGGAAAGCTTGTAAAAAGGAATGGGACCGTTTAACGTAAACGTTCTTCAAAGAAATCTTCTACAGTGAAAACTTCGATGTAGCGTTTCACAACATGGCCATCAGATCGAGTATAATTAAAACTGGCGCCATGGCATTTATGTTACTTTATAGGCCTCTGAATTCGGCATTATATAACGCGATTAACCCTTTGTAGTCGTAATTATGAAAGAACAGCAAATAAGATAGTTTTGAGATGTGTTAAAATCGCTGTCAATTGTATGTAATGAAAAATTTCATTCAACAATAAAAGTTTTCTGGTTTGCTCAAACAAACAAAACACAAAACACCTTATGTATTTTGTTTACTTTAATAACAATATGAAGGTTAGCAACAATCAGCCTTCCTGTTCTGGAGATTACATGCCAAATAGTTAACCAAAATATAAATATTACTCAGTTTGTTATACATTTATGTACATACGTTTGTTTAATGGCGGTATTATGCTACGATTATGCTAGCAGCATCGAGTGAAAATAAAATTTTGTTATGGTTTTCGTAAAAAAATCGAGTTATCGTATATTTTGAAGCGAATTGATACTTATATATCAGTATGGCGTCGTCACTAATCGAAAAGCCAATATTAATTAAAAGAAAACTTATAATTTATATATTTATCGAAATAAGTATTGTAGTAGTGATGTCAAATACTGGTTTTCAATAATACATACAATCCTCAGTGGGGACATTGCCTTGGGAAACTACTTTAATACAGCTAGATTCAAAAGCTGAAATATAAAAGTTAAAGAAACTATACATTTGTTTTTATTTGCGTTTTCAGACGAAAACGTGAACGTCTGATGGTGAGCATCGCCATCTGGCAATTCTAGAAGGTTGATAATGGCATTTGCTATGTCTAGCATAGCAAGTAGAAGTTCGGATCAAACTTCTTCATATTTTACTGTTTGGAGTTACAATTATAGGGTATATTATTGAAATAATGACTATTTAGACATTTATAAATTATATTGTAATAAAAATTTCTGGATTAAAATCGCCTGTATGTAATTATTCAAATTTATCGGAAGTAATGTGAATACAGAACATACAGAATTTGCATTATTTCTGTTCATAATAGCTTAAAATTCTGTAACAGCAGGTTTGGGTTTTAACGGCATCTTTAACCACTAACAGCGGAATACCTTTGTAAATTTTCTAAAAATGATTTCCCGAGTTGATTTCAGATTTACATTAGCCACTAATTCCCTGAACAAAAGTATTACGCAGTCCTATCCTCTTATCGTACGGTAAGAGACTCGACGCAATTTAAAAGTAATTTAGTGTTGTCAAACATCCAATACATATTTTAAAATAGTTTAATTCGTTTACTTACATTCGCTAGTTACATTCGTCATTGCTAAACGTTTCCGCCATTTATCAGCACTATCTTTGAGTCAGCGCGTGACGTGAATGTGTGGCGCAACGTGTTTTACTTCGAGATCAAACGTTAACAGTGTACTTCTGTTTTCCGTAGAAAATTAACGTTTAAACTTCGGCTGCACTGTTTAAACTTGAGTTAAAAACTTTAAATGTTTAATCTTAAGAAATGTCTTTATGTTGTCTGTAAATTATTAAATTTATAACATTTATGCGTATGTATAATGTATGATGTTCAAAACCATCTACAATGTATTTTTTATATCATTACAATGAAATGCAGTTTATAGGAAAAGTAGGGGGCTAGTAGGCAAGATCTACTAGAAATGACAGACACTAAGAAAAAGCATAAAAAATTTCAGACTACTAATTGGAGAAAAATATAAACAATAACTTAATCAACACCTGATCACTCACTGAGAGATTTATTCTTAAAACAAACGTTTTGAATCTAATCAATGGATCATCGTCAGGTAAATTAGAACATTTCCAAAAAATAGAACAACAAGTTTAAAATACAAAATTATAAATATTAATAACGGATAACCAATATGTTTTTAAATAATAAAAGATTAATACAAATGCTGCTAAAATTAAAAATAAAAATAAAATATTCAAATATAACAAACAAATTTATGTATACAAAATATTAATACTTCTAAATTAATAGACAAATTGATAACACTAAATATTAATATTGCTTAATAAACTGTACAGACTTAACCATACAGAGTTTTTACTGTACATATTATTAAAGCTCCTGCTCTTATTTGAAGTTTTTAACTGCAAACTTCCACGCGAAAAAAGTCCCTCGGCATCTTTTGCGTTGATGCACTTCCCTTTAAGTTTGCTTTTATAAATTTCTAATTTTTCGGCCGTTCTTGCCAAGGTCGGAGAGTGTATTTGTTTCAGTATATCTGCTTTATTCCATCTTACTATTGAACCCCCCCCTAAATTAGTTTGTGCCATTTGAGACAATACTGTGGCATTAGAACCTTTTCTAACATCATATCTGTGCTCTTTTATCCTTACCCCTAGGTTTCTAGTAGTAACTCCAACATATTCTTTATTCATTCCTAACATCTGATTCTCGTATGGGATCTTATATACACCCGACCTATCTTCTTTTTTAACTATCCCTTTATCATTTCTAAGTATTCTGTACAAATTCGGAGCTCTTTTTAAGACTATTCTTGTATCTTTTTTATTTGCGATTTCTTTCATAATGCTTTCTAAGCGCTTGTTGTACGTAAATTTCGTGTATGTAGATGGACCACGACCAGATACTATTTCTGTACTAACTTCTAATTTATTGATAATCCCCTTTATAACATTCCTCTTGTAACCCAACGCTTCTGCTACCTGCATGATTCTTTCTATTTCTGCATCCCTGTCTATTATACTTTCGCAGTATAAAAAAGCTTTCCTAACTAACGCTCTAAATGCTGCTAATTTATATTTATAATGATCATTAGAGCTAGCAGATATATAAAGTGGGCTATGCGTTGGTTTAATAAATACCCCGGTAGATATACGTCCTTCTCTAAACATTAATGTCCAAAAAATGTACCATAACAGTGTTTTTTGCTTTAGTTTTAAGCTAAGGCCATCCTCATTATCATTAATTCTATCTATAAAGTTAGCAATTACTCGATTGCTTTTCCAAATTATGAATATATCATCGACATACCTTTTGTAGTATATAATATTGTTTTTGAAATTATATATACAATTGTTTATATTTGAAAAATATAAATAATTGTAAAATACCGTGCAACTTTACCTGTACAGTGCTAGAAGTTCGCAATTCAGGAGTAGTCTTAATGTACAAAGATTTTCCATTGAACAAAATCAATAAAGTAAACTTTTAATTTTATAAAAACATTTATTTCAGGTTTAACAGCATTTCACAGAGATTTATCAGCAAAACTTAACAATAAAATGAATTAAAAATACAGAGAAAAATTTCCAAATTACATTAAAAGTAAAAAAAATTCCCTGCTACACTCAACAACTAAAGTAGAAGTAGCGATTATTATGACATTTATCTTTCACTGTTTTATTCTATTCGGAGTGATTTACACATTGGTGGAACAACGAATGCTAATGAATGACAAAGCCTATCATTGACAAAGGTTCCTGAATGCATTTATGGCTGTTGAACATTTCGAGTTGAAGAATCAGCTTGCACCCATGGTTCCAGCACGTTTTGAAAAGAAGAATCAGCTTGCATCCATGGTTCCTGCACGTTTTGAGTAGAAGAATCAGGTTGCATCCCTGGTTCCTGCACGTTTTGAGTAGAAGAATCAGGTTGCATCCCTGGTTCCTGCACGTTTTGAGTAGAAGAATCAGGTTGCATCCACGGTTGTTGCACCCTTTGAGTANTGTAATTTAACAAGAAGTATCAACCACATCTAGAAAATAATGTTTCATTATTTGAGTAACTAAACATAACTATAAATAAAACTTCTATAAACATAATTTTGTAGAAGATGAGTTTTATTTTCAAAACTTTGTACATTAAATGCGAATAAAATGTGCATTTAATTTAATCCCATTCAAGACACGACACATGACTTCATCAATTTCCCAACACCCGTAACCTATAATCAGCAGAATTTAATAATATTAATGTACCTAATACACAAACCTCTGTGCATAATTTCAGAACCTTTCAAGAAAACGTATAGGAATCATTTAACTTCGAATTGGGTAAAGAAACCCTGTCACACATAGAGGCACACTAATATCAATGCATACGGGAAGAACTCTTAAGTTTTGTTTTTCATTTATACACGTTTGAAGATTCTCAGCACCCAAAAATGTAAATATCTTTAGTACTAAATTTGATCGATTGCAATATATAAACGTTTGTTATACATAACAACCAAGTAAATAAAATTATTACAGTATAAAAGATTAATTATGTCAACAGAAAAGCTTCATGCATATCTTATTGTTTTTGTAAACTATAAAAAACGCTTTTATGCTGTTAGCACAAAATTTTCCATAACGGTAAGAAGAAACTATCATGTGAGAATATTCACAGAAGTCACTTTCACACATGCTCAAAAGCTATGTGGAGAATGTCGTTCCAAAGTTGTTTCAGGACAGAAAGAAACTTACACAACGTGGTTCATTCTTGTGCTTACGGTTAAATTTCTGCAATTCACCGCTGTATTCCTGGAAAATAAAAATTGGCATGTGCACGCTGTTTATAAAACTTCAAGCAATTTAAATAAACTCCATTATCAAATAATAATTGTATATAACATAAGGAATTGCACTTTAATTCCGATTATTGTCATAGATTTATAAAGTCAATAATATTATTAAAGTAGATAGCAAGATAAATGTTATACAATAAATGAAAATGGTATCAACCAATTAGAAAATGCACAATACTGATTCGAAAAGAAATTCTTAAGATATCAATATAAAATTAGTGTTTACGATTTTATATAACGCCGATACTTTCTATATCTTCAGTCAGATTCAATCAAGCTGCAGCACTTTACTTAGCGACCACTTAACATCATGCAATACACTATTTATTAAGTTAAATGGCAGATAATTGCGTCTATTGCATGTTTTCACCTTTACTAAACATTTCTGCACTTTTCGGCAACATATTTTTAGCACGTTGCGAACACCAACAGCTTAGCGAAAAACACAAGAAATGGGTAACAATTTATGGAAAATTTCTGCATTTAGTATTTGTCGTAGAGTTGATAATGTTAACAGTAGAAAGATTTAAAACAGACGACGATCCATTGTTATGTAGTCCGGTTGTAAAAATTGCAGGAAGTGGTTTGAACAATGTTTACCTTTTGAGCATGGTTTATCTTGCAGACGTTGGTATGTTGATAATGCTTCGTATTGGCACAAAATATAAATTATCTATTGATTTCAGAATTTCAGGGTATGTAGGAGAAAAAGAAAAAATGCAGAAATGGCAGACAGGCACGATTTTTTTGTTTGGCTCTGCGTACATTAATATATTAATCGGTTCTGTCGTTTTTTCATTTTACACATTTAAGGCAGTAGAACAGGATACAACTTGGATACGGGCTCTCTTCTGTTCCGTTACTATTCATTACGCAATAATTTTGCTATCAGGTCTACTAAAGTGGCTCATTACTGTAATTGTAGTATTAAGCATAATGATGTACGAAAGATTCAATGCAATATCGCGGCAGTTGTATTTAGCTGTAAGTTAAAATGCAAAATATGAAATTAACGATATAATGCGAAAACATTTGGAAATCTGCGAATTTATTGATGAAATGAACGACATATGGGGTAACTTTTATTTTGTTATTTACGGCATTGCCGTTTATATCGTATCGTTCTGTTTTTATAACACAATATTCACTACGTCAGCTACATACGTACGAATATTTCTTGTACTTTGCTCTACCGGGTGCGTGTGTTTGGTAGTATTAATTTCTTTTGTGGTTTCTCGTATCTTCACTTCGGTAAGTTCGAAACAAAATAAATCTGAAATATTAATTTTAGTTAAGTGTAAAGTAAAGAATTGTCCATGTAATTACAGCAGTGTAAATTAATTATTATACTATTATTCAATTATAATTTACGAACAACAGGCTTATGATTCTTTTCAGGAAATTCGAAAATTCAATTTGATTTCTCTTCCATTGGAAGTTAATTTCAAGGTAAGTTCAAATTGCAAATTGTAAAATTAAGAAAGCTGAATTTTGACACTTAAAATTATTGGCAGGCGTTGAATTTTATGAAAAAATTTCGAGAAAATGAAATTGGAATTAGTTGTGGAGGATTTTTTATTTTTTCTACATAATTTCCAATTGAGGTATTTGTATAAGATTAAAATCGTTGATGTAAATGTTCATAACAGCCAAAATTAATTTTTGTATTAATTTTTAAATTTAAATATAATAAAGTACTGTTTTTTTTGTAATTTTCAGCTGTACGAATTGTTGTATAGCGGTTTCAATATATTACTTCAAATAAGAGATATTTTTGAAGGAATTGAAAAATCGTGTAAACCAATCACAAAACCATTAATTAATGCTACTGAAAGTCCCAACGTGTAGTTGAATAACGTATAATATAGAAGAATTTACACGACTAGTACTATTGTCTTATATGAATTGTATAGATTTCATGTATTTTCGTATAATAGATTAATAAACTGATTTAGCAACGTTTCTTTTGCACAAAAATCATGGTAATCAGACCTGACGTCAGGATCTTTCGTTTTAGTATAGATATTACCGCTATAGCTCGAAATCCGTTAATGTCTACTGTACATTACCTAGCTAATCTGCAGATTAACTAGGGTGATCCGTGAACGTGCGGAATCAAGAGTTTTTCGCATTTTACCTAGGTAATCTGCACATTAACGGCTTCCGTATCGTTAAAGTTCAAAAGTTTGTTTCTCTCATTTCCTTTCCCTACTCCTTTTTTTTAAGTAGATAAATTTAACTTTTAGAATGCAAGCAAGCACCGAATTGCTGAGTAAAATTAAGAAAAGATTCTTCGCAAACCTCTTTAGCGAAGATTTAAAATATAATACGTAGTGTTTTAATAACAAACCAAAGTATGATTCCATAATTGAAGATGTAAAGCAAATAAAAGTTTCCAAGAAGAAAGAATCATCTCGAGATTATCAAATAATTCAAAGGTGTGATGTGTTGACTGTACGAGGCTGTGAAAAACTCATTGAGCCGTTGTCAGATGCGCGAGAAAGGTTTGAAAAAGTTTGTCCATGCCGGAGAATTGTTTGACATTCGATAAAAACTGAAGAA